TATATAGGCTTGACGTTACAACTTGTGTTAAATTTGCATATGTGTAAAATCTTGCACGTTTTACGTGTGTATATTACTATAAATAAAGTTCTCTCCATCAATCCTATAGGCGATTTTCTCTTCTGATGTATGTGAAGAGAGTGAGTAATGAATGTTCTGAGTATGTGTACCTCATCTGAACATTCATAACTCATCCACTCGTTCACATACATCAGAAGAAAAAATTCGCACCTAAAATCGCAGCAAAAATTGCAAGTGTAACGGGCCTTATGAAATATAGACCATCACCTCATTCTGTCTTTGCATTCGTCGTGTTTTCAGTTCCTCCAACATGTCTCCCTGGTCTGATCTTCGCCCTGTAGTGGCTGCAAAAACAATAACAAATAAACTCAATAACAAATAAACAAACACAGGCTCAAAATAACGGGAGATAAGTCTCCGGTCAAAATGACCGGTCAACTTGATTTTAGCTCGGTCAAACTCTGTTTCTGACCGGTCAGTGATACACTTTAGTCTTACACTAACAGTGAAACAAACTATTAGAAACTTGTTTCGATACATCATAGTTTCATGTTTAATTCAAGACGTTAGCAATCACATTGGAAGGCATGAAAATATGGCCGGTAAAATGATCGTTGAGGTAAAAAAGTGGACGATCAAAGGCATTTTTGGCCGGTCATTTGTCCGTTGACCGGCCGTTATTTTGAGCCCTGAAACATTATTTAGAGTTTAGTTGCTTCGTAAAACAGTCTTGTCTTAATATACCATAGTTATTATAATGACTACTATGGCATAAACAGTGTGATACAGTTATCATACTGACGATTATTTAGTACTGGAAACCATATTTTTCATACCTGGATTTCTGTATTTTCTTCATCAATAATTTCAACAACCGTGCTTTCCTCACGTCCTCGCAGACTAACAGGCTGTTTTAAAAGGAAAAGCAATGACATATTCTTTACTGCATGGGTCATCCTCGCCAGGCACAATTTGTAGTTAGGCAGGGGGTTAGATCTAACTAGTGTATGGGGGTTAGATCTACGATTGTCTGGTAGGTGGTTAAATTTAAGCTAATTTGATGGGAGGGAGGATTAGACCTAGGACTATGCTCATTTGACAGTAGAGCTTAGATCTAGGACTGGTAGGAGGGTAGATCTAACATTGACAGGGGGCAGGGGAGGGGGGTTAGATCTGGGATTATCTGGTAGGTGGGTGGATCTGAGCTCATTGACAGGGGATTATTCTAGGGTTTTCTGGTAGGGGGTGGATCTAGCCTAATCTGACAGGGAGACTAGTTCTATACTATTCTGGTAGGAGGTTGATCTAGGCTCATTTGGAAGGACAGGGGGATTAGATCTAGGATACTCTATTGGGGGGGGGGGCTTGGAAGGGGGGCAAATTGCCCCGGGCCCCG